ACTGCCCACTACTATTTATGAATCGGTTACAAGTGACATGAAAATATATAGATATAGATATATAAATGCATTTGCTTCTGAATTTCTCCTTAACATTGTTATTCAAAAATATGACAGCTTAAAGAAGAATGAAAATGAGCTCTACTCCATGCTATTTTTTTACTTTTCCACAGAAATATTTCCCATTAACGAGTTTATTAATTTATCTTTTAAAAAAGTAGAAGTCAAAGAGCTTTTTAAAGAACATAAATTTAATATTGATTTTGGCATTTACCATGTAAATTTGTTTCAGTTTTTGCTATCAGATCTCAACTTAATGAGATTTCAAACTCTGTAAACAGGATAAGAGCATGTCAGGAGGCTGATAATTTATAGTTATGCTATGTCTTTATCCATTAAGAAAAGGAAGTAAATTGTAGAAAAGAAACTAATAACTCTTTGCTTCTAGGGAAGAGGAAAAAATCTCTTTTGAAGGTTCAAAGACTTCTTTTTGGACTCACGAAACACATCATAGTTACCTCCACTTTTAAAAACCTTTTGAAAATATGCAATGAATCCTTGACAATATCTCAGATAAGTGGTGACTATGTAAGCTATTGCAAGTTTTAGACAGATGCCTTTTTGTCAGCCTAACCTTGGTTTTCAACCTATAATAAAATCAGAAAATCCCCTTACTATAAAATTAATAGAGTATGAATATGGTTGTTTTCTGTGTGGTTTAGGAGTTGTGTGAGTTATGATAATTCAACCTAGACATGAAAAGGCAAATGTTATTGCAGTACATATACACAAGATCCTTTAAATGCTGATACGCTTAACATCCTAGTCGACAGAAGTAAAAATATACAATAAAACTAATAAATATATTGTTAATATGTTTCCAGATTTAATTTAATGACTCTTTATGGAGTGTTTACTATGTGTATGTATCACCGTGATGGCCACAAAGCAGGAAATCACATAGTTCTTGGATTCTGTGGTTAGTGGAAAATTACACTCATTTGAAAATATCTACAGAGCACTGACTATGTGCCTTGGCTCCATGAAAGGCACAGGTTGAGGGTCAAAGTGAAACCAGCATGGATGTTGGCACCAAAGAGCTTAGGATAGAGAAAGGGAGTTAAGATCTTATTACAGGGTTAGATGACTATTATAAATATTAGAGCAAACTGAAATTATTTCTTCTGTCTTATGTATATCTTGCCTCATTTAAATATGACTTTAAGTATGACATGTATGATGCAACAGAGATACAAATAAAATAAAGGCATTTATATTATAGAAAGGTAATATGAAGAGCTCAGAAGATTTTTAGTGTAGTGAAACCACTCTATATGATACCATAATGGTAGATACATGTCTGTATACATTTGTCCAAACCCATAGAAGAACGCCACCAAGAGTGACTCCTAATGTCAACTGGATTTTTGCAGCTGCTGATGTGTCAGTGCAGGTTCATTGATTGGAACAAACATAGCACTTACTCTAGTGCCTGATTTAGCCACTAGGAATGGGTCAAAAATGTGGCCTTTGACAAATGCAAAGAGAAAATTAATATCAATAGCTCAGTATTAAATAAGATGAAGTTTTCCTAATAATGAAGGCTAAGAAAAATTTTTGTTTATCTCTATAAAAGGAGGCATCAAGTTTTGTAGTGGAATATAAGCGATAAGTATATCAATGATGTTCCCATAGTTATTTCTTATCAATGAAGAACTCAACTAATGTAATTCTAGGAAGTACCAACACAGTGGGTTCTATATGTGAGGTTTTTTTGGTGGTCTGAATGCTTCACAAATAAAATTTAGACCATCTAGAAGGTGTGCTTCTCAAACTGTTTTGAGAATACACCCGACTAGATGTAGAAGAGTGCAGAAATATTCAAAATCACATTTTATTCAACGTTGAATCATTTTAAAGATTAATTTTATATTTAAAAAAACGCTAATGGAGTAGCATGCACAATAAGCATACCCTCCCCTCCCCACAAAACAGGAAAGAAAAAACACGAGACTTTAAAGAAATTTCACTCCCTGATTGCAGCAGGTCTTTTCGTTTGCCCTTAGTCTCCCACGAATACCAATTTCCTCTCGTGCCATTACAGTGTCTTCTGCGAAAACACTGGAAATTACGATTTCGGAGGAAGGGTATGAGATTATATATTTGAGTTAATGTTTGTGATCTGCTTCATGAGGCTACGAACTGGCCACCCCCTCCATTTTCCCTCTGGAGGGCATCCTCCCCTGACAGGAGCAGGATTTCCATTGAAGATAGAAATAAAGAGACTACAGGTAGATAAAGCAGACACGGAGGAGGAAGCTTCCAGAAGCAGTGTATGTAGTGGAGTAGGAACATGGTCTTTGGAGCCAGAAAAAATATTATTTGAAACTCTGGTGATGTCACATATTTGCTGGGTGACTTCAATCAAGTTACTTTGCCTCTATAAGCCTTAGTATTCTCATTTGCAAACAACAATAAAAATAATATCTCCTAATTAATTATAGCGCGGATTACATGATCTGATGCTATGCTGTCCTTTATGGCAGCCACTACCACACTTGTGGTTATTGAGCACTTGAAATGTGGCCAGTCCAACGTGAGACATGCTGTAATTGTCATATCCACACTGGATTTCCAACATTTGGTACGAAAAAATAATGCAAAATTTTGTGTTAGTAATTTTCTATATAGTTTATATTTTTTACATGTTGTAATTGTATTTTCCAGATAATTGCTTAAGGAAATATATCACTAAAATTAGTATCACCTATTTATTTTTACTTTTTTGATATTCTTATTTGTTCTTTATATCCATTCTGAAAAATGGTCAAGATTGCTTCTGTTATTCCAATTTTACAGGTAAGAAACTGAGGCTCAAAAAAAACTAAGACTTTTTCAAAATTCCACAAGCAGGGACAGGACAGAGAGAGAAACTCGTCTTCTGTGTTTTTTATGACTTAACTGTGCTAGCTCTAAAAATCAGCATCACTACATAACATTAGTAATAACGACAGCAACAACCACCTATCTATTTATTGGGGGATTTTCATGAGCCCGACACTGTCTTAAGCACTTTAAATGAATTAACTGATCTGATACACCTACTCTTGAGGTAGATGCAATTATGATCTCTGTTTTACAGACTGGGAAACCGAGGTGCAAGGTGGGCCCAGTGTATATTGGCTTCCCGCACTTTGATCTCACCCACAGTCTTTGACCTAAATAGGGAGAAAATTAAGGGAACTTGAAATTTATTTAATCTGCAATCCTTAAAGTCAGAACATCTCTGTACCTCCAATGCATGTGCTGAATTTTATTTTATAACGCTGGATTGTTAACCATTACTAGTGAGTATCTTTCTGCATTTTATCAGTGACTTGAAGCATTAACTCTGTAGTGTGTGTATATCACAGGGGTTCGGAGTGCAAGGTCTTGAGCCAGTTGGCTAGGTTCAATTTCTGGATCTAAAGCTTCCTAGCTGTGAATTTGAGCAAGTTGCTAATGTATTCCAGCCATAGATTTTTTCATCTATAAAATATAAAATGGTAGAAAGTAAAGAAGGCAGCAAAAGTTTCTTTCCTCTTTCAAAAATTGCTGTGCATCACAAAATTTCACCAAAAGTTTATTTTTCAAAGATGCCAGTGAAAATACAAAAAATAAAGCCTTTCTAAAATTCATGATTTTAATGGATTTTTTATTTTATATTTTGCATAGTGAAATGAAAATGGGAATAATGAAGAGAAAACCATTGTTATTTTAATATCAAATGATAGATATGTGTGTGACTGGTGGTTGCTACTCTGTTGTTCTGTTTGTTAAATTAAATACGATTGAGAAGAATTTTACATGTTATGATTTAAAGGAGATTGATTTATATGTCTACAAAAACCTTGGCATTAACCCTTATATCATTCTTTTCTATATGTAAGATACAGATTGATACGGTTTTTTACTGCAGTATCTTTTTTTTCCCAGGACTCTAAACTGTCTCAGCACATGAACTGTCTGTATTGATCGAGTTCTGTGTACTTACTTCGTAATAGCCAAGTCTGAGTAGATAAGCTTGCAATTTCTCTAAGGAAACGATACGAGGTTATGGAATAAAAGTAGACAACACTCTCTAAATTATGGAGGTTTAAGCATTATCTTTGGCAGCCATGAAGCAAACATCCTTCAACTGCATTTGGATTGTATGTCCCCAACCTCCATTTGAAACATTCTGTTAGTATTTATCCCTCTCACTATCATAAAAATAATGAAGAACATATATTTTTAACTTTATCAATAACCTGAAGAAAATTTAGAAGAAAAAAAAAAACTTTCAGTCACTGGGCTCTGATCACAGAATGAAATAAACACCCTTTCCTTGATTCATTGCTATAAGTTTACTACGCTGAATTTAGTCATTGAATTCTCTATGCCTCAATAGCTACTCATGCATACGAGTTATATATATGAAATCCAAATACTCATGAATCTAGGACTATTAAAATAAGAGAGAGAACATATTCAACATTCAAATCCACAAGATAATACTTCTTTGTCCTACTTTTTCCAATTCTAGAAATGCTTACATTACTGAACACTTTAGAGATTTGTTCAATCAGCAGATGTTTTTGAAGTGTATATTCTTCATGAGATACTATGATAGACTCTGCTGTTAGAAAGATGTTTAAGAAACAGTACCTGTCTCAACGAACAATTAGAATACAGTTTCATTGCTGCTAATATTTTTAATCGAGAATAAAGAAAAAGGAGTATGTAAGTGCCCCAGGTGAGGGAGAGCCGGGGACAGTGACACAAGAGAAAGATTCACCAAGGAGCAATATTTAAACTGCTTTTTTTTTTCTTAAAGATTTTATTTTTTTCCTTTTTCTCCCCAAAGCCCCCTGGTACATAGTTGTATATTCTTCGTTGTGGGTTCTTCTAGTTGTGGCATGTGGGATGCCGCCTCAGCGTGGTTTGATGAGCAGTGCCATGTCTGCGCCCAGGATTCGAACCGACGAAACACTGGGCCACCTGCAGCGGAGCGTGTGAACTTAACCACTCGGCCACGGGGCCAGCCCCCTTAAACTGCTTTTTTGATGAAAATTGGCCTAGTGGACAGGCAGAATAGAGTCTGGGGCGTGACCAGTCAGTCTACAGAGAGAAAAATCACTCACAGAGACAAATGCAAACATAGAAAGATAAGAAACAGAATGATTTGTTTAAGACGTCAGCAGTGAAGTAAGTTGAGTGTGTTTCAGGTGCACATTGCAATTGAAGAGAGAGAGTTGAAAAAAGATGGGGCTGAAAACTAGGGGTTTGTTTATGAAGCAGGTCTGCCTTCCGTATTTGTGAAGCATGAGGAAAGTACAAATGAAGATTTACAGATCATACATTAAAAATTTTAGAAGTTGTAATTTAAGTTTAAAAAAAGCCTAAATACAGTAAAGGTGTGTCCAGGTGCACACACCTGTGGTGCTGGCTGCTGTCAAGAGCTGGTCCAGGTCAGGCATGCCTAGGCCCTGGAAACAGGTCACCATTGGGCAAGACATTCTAAAGCAAGATCTGAAAGGTGGGGAATGCAGAAACAAGGACTGTAAGTGGGCATAGCACCTTGGTCACAAAGACTGTCTTCCTGGGGACAAGGTACAGCCAGAGGAGGCCATACGGTGTCCTCTAAAGCTCACTGACATGGGCAGGTGCTCCTTGCATGGATCTAAGATCTATGCCAATTAGCTCTGCATCAGAGTTTGGACATTTTTTGCAGCCTAAAGAGAGCCATTGAAGGCTTTTCAGTAGTGAAAGTCTAAGATAACATTTTTATTGTTTGTATAACTACAAATTAGTGAAGGTCACAGGTAAGAAAATTTTCTTTTCAACATAGAGTAATGCTGGACACATACTGTAACCTTCTTTGAAAGGACTCATTTATTAAGGTGCTGCACAATAGATAGAACTAGAATTGGCAAACTACATAATTAAATTGTATATTGCTATTCATCACTTGGAATGCTTTGTTACTCAAAAACCCTTCAATAACCATGCCAAGCTATGGATGTAATCCTGCTAATGTTCACCTCAAGCACTGAGAGTAAGGGACTTCCCACAGAGGAGATTTGTAAATGTGTCGGCTGGGCCTCCTAGACTTCTTGGGAGGGACGGGAGAAAGGAAAGAGAGTTTAAAAGATGCAGACTTGGGAGTTGAATCGAGGCAGCCTGGTTTTCAAACCACCCAATGCTACTTTTCTGCATTTCTGCCTGAAATGCACAGAGAATATCCACGAATCCTCTAGTAATTCTTCGATTTAAAATTGTTCACCCACACAGTGACTCATACAATTTATAAACACAAGAATGGTGTTGAAATACAGTAGAATTTAGATTTCAAAAAAGAAAATGTCACACACTGCAGTGGGTGTTATGGTGTGTTGTCCAGCTCCCCGACTCCTCTGGAGCAGAAGCGCTGGTTTCTGCAGATGGTCGGTGACTGAGTCCGTCTCTGGAAATTGCCCTTTTCTGAGATGTGGGGGAGTCGGGGGGGAGAGTCAACATATAATTCCTCAGTGTGCGTCCCCTTACAAAGGTCCATCCTCCTTGCCGCTGTGCATGCCAACTATGCAGGGCCTTCTCAGCAACAGAGCTGCGTCCTCCACAGTTCACATTCTCCCTTTGCCAAATCCTGCTTCTATCACTCCTCCACGATGCTGATCCTATGAATTCCTCATTAAATGCCCTGAGCATGAATTTCCGTCCCAGAGTCTGCTTTCTAGAAACAGGACCAGAAACATATATTGAACTCATTAGCTCTTAAAACTGTTATCTCAAGGGATGCAAGAAAAATATTCCATTTTAAAGATCACATGTGAAGCCAATGCCCCATGTTTTCCTTAACACAGTAATCCTACAAATGAATTATTTTACCATTGTAAGGGTAAGTTAGTTTTTTTTAGAATTTTCCCTGATGCCAAAAGTCAAAAAGACCTTTTTTCCACTCCTTTCCTTAGAACATTTCCTTGATAAACCTACTATTTATAAATCCTTTCTCTGTCCCTTTGAGAGAGAGAGTCTTTTTAAAGGATATATAAGCTAGTGTTACAATCCAGGAAAGTCTTTCTTAAAGGCCTAGGAGCCATCTCTTTGAAATGTAAACATCAGGGAAGCTGAGTTCCTCTTCCTTGGCTGCAGAATTTTAGCCAGAAACCTTGCTCCAGGTTTAACCACCTGCTTGTCACAGAGATACAGAAGTGTAATTACTTCTTCAGATAAAAGCAATTAGCTAGCCTAGCTGGCCACCCCAATTTCCAGGTGAATTTGGGCTGAACTATGAGAGAATGTGTAGCAAGTACTTCTGTCCGGTCTTCTTCCAAACAGAAAAACTATCGTTAGTCTTGAGAACATGCATGTGCTGGATTATATCCGCTTGGTGGGACACAAAGGATGGGATTTCTTTCTGTCTTTATAATATCATTAGCAGATTACTTCTGATATATATCCCAGTCTGATTTAATGTTTATTCAATAATAAAACTGTTTTCTTTCTTTTCTACGTTTGAGAAAAGAATTTTCTAGGTTAACAAGGGATTTTATTTTTAATTCTCCCTCAACACACTGAACAAGTTTCTGTCACAAGAAAAATAAAACATAAAACAATGATATCATCAGAGCTAACTGTGCCAACGTCAGTGGTTTCCAGTCACTTGATCATTCCCGGAGATGCATTGTACTGCTGGCTGAGCCTTCAGAGCGGGGTTAGAGAGGTGGCTGGACTGTGTCTGGAATCCTCAACTGTTCACCAAGGCTCTGGGCAAAAATCACACTTCACAACTCTATAGAGATAGAAACTCCCACCTCACGTGGACCCCGGATAGTAATGAGCTGGCTCGGGGCATGCAACTTGACAGAACTCTTCTCGCCTAGAACTAAGAGGCCTGGTCCCAAACCAGTCTTCCTTGGTCCCTTGTCCCCAGAACAAGCATTATTAATCCCTTTGGGAATGTCATTAATCTTGGAAACTGATGACAACCTTGAACATTCTACTCAGAAAAGCACACATATCTACTTAAGGTCAAATTTTTGCATGCAAATTTAGCAAAGTTCTGAAACTCCTGGGCCTCTTTTCTCCAGCAATCATGAGAACTAAATATTCTCTAACACTGTATGATTTTCACCTCGGAGACATTCAGGAAATATTGGCTGAGTAAATCCTAGTCTTCCTTGGAGAAAGGAATGATGCCTGTGATTAAAATGACAAACTAAGTCTTTTTTTCTTGCTTCCCTATGAAGAATTGAGTTTCCAAAATAATAGTTATCCCTGAATTTCAATTGCACTTCACTGTGCTTCTAGCAAGAGCCCTCGCTGTACATACCATTGGGCTATGCGGGTGGAGATAAGGTATTAGTTAGGAACATAGACACTGGAGTCAGATTGCCTGGGTTTTAAATAATAAACCTCTGTGCCTCAGTCCCTTATGAAAAGAAGACAATAATAGTATTAGCTCATTTGTTTGTTGTGATCATTAAACAACATAATCCACGTACTATGTTTAGTCAGCAGAGTTTCCAGACCGAGACAGACTAGGAAGAAGGACCTGGTCACCCACTTCTGAAAAAATTGGCCATGAAAACCCTGTGAATAGCAGTGGAGCATTGTCTGATACAGCACCAGAGGGTGAGAGGATGGTGCAAGAAGACTGGGCAGGATTCCGCTCTGCTGTCCACAGGCTGGCTATGAATCGGAATCTCCTTGTCTGCACAAACAGCAACAAATTCAGCCAATATTTGACATAGTAAATGCCCGATAAATGTTACCTATCATGATTATAAGAAGAAAGTTTATGCCCAAGAGATGCCATTTAAGGATTCATTTGGCAGAAAGCAACCTTTGGAAAAGTTAACAAATACTGATATTTATATTAGTACTTGAAAAGTAAATTTTTAAATAAAATATATTAGAAACATGTACAGACCTCTTTTCTCTGAGGCTAGGCAATTAGAATAAAGGAAGCAGAGGAGAAGAGAAAAACAGTAATGGCAGCCTGATTCACATAGATGGGTGAAATCAAATACGGGTTGAGGAATAATCCCATATTTGAAGTTTTAGCACTTGGGGAGAAATTTTAGGAGTTTTAATAGGACACAGATGAGGCTCTTTCCCTTTATCATACATCCCATTTTCTAAACATAGATCTATCACACTTTGAGATGGATCACCTTTTCTACACAACTTAAATTTGATGATGGGGAAAGAAAAATGAGTCTTGATGCTGGAGTTGTGAATGACGTGATGAAATTTGAGTAATATAATTTGGGAGTGATTGGAGAACATAGTTCATTTTGACACGTACTCTTCTCTTGCTTCCCTTTCCCCCCCAAAAATTATTTAGATTTTTGGTTTTCTGATGGGAAATTATGTTTTGAGAAAATATAATCACTATAAATTTGAATACCTATTGTTCCTCTTTTAATACAATTGTATTGAATATGAAACACCCATATCATTCAGCCCACTATTTATGAACTGCTTGAAAATGCATGTAACGAGTTAGTTCAGTTTCTGGTTTTTATTTTAACATTTAGCTAGGCAGCAAGAGAGCGAAAACTTATTTTTCTACTTTATTTCCATTGCAGGCCCCAAAAGGGATGTACCAAATTGTCTTTCTTTTGCAGAATGTCCTCGGGGATCAAAGCTGCAAGTCCTGCCCACCACAAATAGTAATAACTTTTCACAGCCAGAATAGTGCAGGTGGATTTACTGCAAGAGAGCTCAATTCTGTACTTCTTTCTTCTGCTTCTATAAATTCAGTCTTTTGGATTTACTATCTGGAAAAGGGAGTCATTCTCCTTCTGCTTTTATTTGACCTGAAGATGAAAACTTAATGACCTCTATTTCATGTACGACTGGAGGATAGTAAACCATTTCCTCATAAATATTGGCAACGACCACATAGCCACTATTTTGCGTTGTTGTTTCTACGACTTCCAAAAATTATGTGTAGTTACTTCAAGTTAATTTCATCTTACCCTGGATTCCTACCTTCCCTTCTTTGCTCACATTGTTTCCTATACTCGGAATTCCTTTTCCTTACGTAAATTTATTCAAATTCTATTTGGAGATCCAGACTTTGATTAAAGTTCTATCTTCCCCACAAAACCGTCTGGGTCCACCTAAGTGTGAAATGATATCTCCTTCCTCTTACAGCATTGATTGTGATATTTATCTAATGTTTATGACTTATTGCCTGAGCAAAATCACAACCGGCTGTTTTATGTGCAAGCGGACACGTTGGATTTTCTGAATGACATTGTCAACTCTTCCAAGAGGGAATCATGCCTCACAGTTCGTGTGTATGCCACAGAAAACTAGTACTTTATTTTCTATGCTCGAGAACCCAGAGGTGCATTTACTGTGGAGCTGAAGGTGCTTAAACTGCTGAGTTGCTCACTTGCAAAGGCTTCCTTCTAAGGTTATGAGTGTTCTCCACCTGGAGCAAAAGGGAAAAGCAGGAGCCCCAGCTGTGAGTCGGAGGCTGAGCTCACTCTCTTCACTTTGGTGGTGATGCCGGGACTGTGCATGGTTCTAAGTATTAGCGACATGACCTTCCCTGCAGCAACCTACCCTCAGGCCCTCCTTGTGCATGTGGGCCCCACTTTTGTCCCCAAGAGGGACTGAATGAGTTATTTCTCCACTCTCTGCTTGGGTAGCACTAGAACCCAGGTTTCATGAACACTTTGCTCCCCACAAGGAATGTGGTTGGGGTCGGGGTGTAGGGACATGGGAAAATGTTGAAGAAATAGTGAGCAAAATGGGGTCCATGCCAAAGCTGTTGCTCCCTAAGCAAGAAGCACTGGCTGTGTCAACAACCACGGAGGAAGTTAGAAACATGACACTAAGAAGGGGTGCAAGGAGGGAAGAAGCTCTTCTAACCGATGATAATTAAAAAAATCAACTCTGTTGGAGGAAAGAGGGGTCTATCTTTCTCTTCCTCTCTGTAAAATGTTATTACAAAATGTTGATCTTATGAAGTGGCAGTCAAGGAACATGACGTAAAAAATCTAAGAACAAAACATTACAGAAGTATGTCAGGCAGTTAACAGAAAATAATAAAAAACAATCATTTTTTTCTGAAAGGATTTGTGATATTATGGTGCTTGTAAACTTTTTAAAATTTTGATTTTCTTGACTTCTTTTTTCTAAGAATAAGGATGTAAGCATTTCTTTTTGTTGCTAATTTTGTATTCTTTTTCTTTAAAAAGATGCCCAATTGTTTAAGATTTGAGTCCCAACTTGAATATGCCCTGCCAGAACCTCATGCTCTCTTGAATTTCCATCTTGTCCGACATGCACCTGACACTCCATATGAACTCATCAGCTTCCCCAGCTAAACACCTTTGCCACATTCTGTATGTATCTGATTGAATGGCTCCACCGTCACTGTCTTGACAGTCAGGACCCAGATCGGAGGAAAACTCTATAGGAAGAATTCTCATCCCATCCCACCCCTAAGAGGAGTTACTTCATCCTCTGATGAAGTATCAGCTTGTGTCTTCCTCTAAAAGAGCAGTCATCACCCTGCACCCTGAACTCAACACTTCAGCCTCTATTTATTTATCCATCATCTCTTTAAACTGTTCTCTTTTTTTAAAGGACAGAGTCTATTAAGCCTTATCTTTTTAGCATCCCATTACTTAACACAGCACCTGACTTAATCATTGGTGGGAACAGAATAATTATTAAGTAATTGAATGAAATCTTTCCTGAATTTTCTGC